GACTTTTCTTCCTTTTGACGGACAAACCTTTCAATATTTAAAGATCCAAGGGATTTTGGAACAGTCTCCTACCTCCTTCTCCTACTTGCAGCACAAACGCAGGATTTTACTCTCTAAATGTGACAGTCCTTTGCATTCATTTATGCGGGCAGCTTATTATTTGTGCCTGTTAATCCAGAAGGACATGATTATACATATGAATGATTAGCTTTGTTTTAGGGTTTATTTGATTGGAACAGTCACCACACCTCTGTGCAGTCTTTAGAATTTATTATTCCACTTCCTTGATTCAGCACATGGGCTTTGTGCATTGCCTTAGCTGGGCCCTGGTGTTAAATAAACTAAGTCACCATTTATCTCTTCATAACTTAAAAACAACAAGAGAAGAACATGTGTGAAAGAATACTTCTGTGAAGGTGGAGGACTAAGATGTAAAGAGAGAAAGCACATATGTGAGTTTTGGGGTGTCATAGGGAGGACCTGGAGAGAGGTGATGCTGCTGCTGGTGTGGGTCCCAGAGTGAAGAGTGAAGTATGAGAGACTTTAAGGATAAATTTGCTGATGGTAGAATACAAACTAGAATAACTTTGGCAACAACTTATGGTAGTTCTGCTTTCATTTGAGGAAGGGTAGAGATTACAGAATATATACAGATTGACAATACTTTTGTTAAATTAGGCATAATAGTTATGGAAGTTGTGAGTTTGGTAGTTGTTTATGTAATATTGCATTCTTGATAGAAATAATCAGGAGGCCCAGAGATTTTTGTGTTTCAGCAAAACACTTGAGTTTTGTAAAGAATATTCCATCTTTAGGAAAGCCTTATTACTTGAATTGACTCCCTTTTGCTTGGGGAGAGGGCTCCTCCCCTTCCTCCATTGTGTCCCACTGTTTCGTATTTGAATGTGAATTGGCCAGACCTGCAATAGCCACTTACCAGTCACATGACTATGGGGAAGCCTTTTCCTCATTTGAGACCTCAATTTCCTCATCTGTGAAGTGAGGAGTTAGATTAAGGTTCTTTCCAGCTCTGAAGGTCATAAGTTCTTTCTTATTTTTGTGTAGAGGTTCCCTGACTTAGATTAAGGTTCTTTCCAGCTCTGAAGGTCATAAGTCCTTCTTTCTTATTTTGGTGTAGAGGTCCCCTGATATATAAAGGCCTAGTACAGACACAAATGGCCCATTTCTCTTTGTGACATCCATGCTGTTGTAGATTGAATTATTGGTTGCAATTCTTCATTCCCTTTTCCAGGGGAATTATACATTCACACGCTTGTCAATGTCTTAGGAAGGGCAAAGTATACTTTTCTGCTTTTTGGCTTTACTAGTAAGCTTGATCATGTGACTTGCTTTGACCAATGGAGTGTTAGCAGATGTGACATAAGCAAAGGCTTGAAATATGCTTGTACATATCTTCTGGTCCAAGAAGGATGAGAGGAGTTGAATCTAAACACAGACCAGACCTAGACACAACCCACAGCTTACACACCAATCTACATCAGTTCAATCCCAGCAGGTGCAGAATGAAAAATAAATGCTTGCACTAGCTGGTTTAGCTCAGTGGATAGAACATTGGCCTGCAGACCAAAAAGGGTCCTGGGTTCATTCCAGTCAAGGACACGTACCTCAGTTTCAGGCTCCTCCCTGGCTCGGGCCCTGGTTGTGGCGTGTGTAGGAGGCAACAAATCATTGTATTTCTCTCACATCAATATTTCCTCTATGTCTTTCCCTCTCTCTTCCATTCTCTCTGAAAATCAATGGAAAATATCCTTGGGTGAGGATTAAAAAAAAAATAAATAAAATGCTTTATGTTATATTTTTGTTCCTGAGATTGTATAGTTGTTGTTTTTGCAGCATTAATTAATCATGAAAGTAAAACACACTTAATGTATAAATCTTTGTTCTTAATGGACATCATGCGCTCATTTATTTAAAATTTTGCTAGTTGTTTATATTGTCTTTTATTTATATCTATATTCTATGTTTTGTTACAAGGAGAGAGAGAGAAAAAAACATTGATGTGAAAGAGAAGCATCGATTGGTTGTGGGGTGAATGGGATGAGCAACCAACCAACTGAGCCACAACAGCCAGGGCTGTTATGTATATTTTAATCAAGGCTGTAATGCCCTTTGTGGCCAACTATTTAGTTTGGTTTGGATTTTTGTTTCACAGAGATGTGAGTCATTAAGGTAAAGATGTTTTTGCCATTCAAGCTATTTATTATATTTATGAGTGGAACCCCAAACCTCAGCTGAAATGACTCTCATTATTCTGTTCAGCTATCTGGATGCAGAATTTGGGTTTAAATGCACACTGGGAGTCAGAGCCATTGAACTGTGTGGACTCTTTGCTCCTAATACAGACTCAGTTCTCATCCACAAACTTCATCTGCAGTGCTTAAATAGCTGCCATTTATTTACTGCTGCCCAACATGGGGGAAGGATTGCAGCACAGAAAAAGTGGAGTCAGCAGTCTTTGGGGGTTTAAGAGTCTTGAGAATTAATGAACTCTTTTCTACCATGCTGTGTTCCAAAATTAATCTGGTTTCTGCCTGCCATGAAGTGATACGGTTTGTTGTTATATGGTTATTTAAGGCACAGCATTTACTCTCCATAATTGGCATTTCTCTGCTCTTCTCTTACAAGATCAAACAAAGCGATATCCTGTTTATAACCTCAGAAGCTATGAGCTGAGATGCCCATTAGCCCCTAAAATACTCACTTTTCTGCCCAACTGCTGCTAGGTCCGTTGGAATTTGGTAGTTTCACATTGTGTATCCAACACATCCTTAGGCTTGCTTGGGAATGTGCATAAAATTTAAAACAACCCCATATAACTTGAAGAGAGAAAATCCATCTGTGGTCATGCATAGTTCTTTCAGAAGAACTGAGTTTCTTTGCATCATGTTATCTGTTGTTTCCCCGTTAATATTCCACAAGCTTTCCAAACTCGAGCTCAGAACATGTAGTCTGTAAGCTCTTTATGGTAGAGTTAACACAAAAAAATTGGGGATGGAAGGGAATTTAAGGTGAAATTAATCAAGGAAAAAGAATTTCAGTCAAACATAGATTTTGAGCTTGTGTTTTCTTTGATAATAAGGAAGAGATTTCCACTCTGTAGGTGTTGGTGGTACAGATTTCCCAGAAGGACACTACCTTCTTGCCTATCTTGGTAACAGTTCTAGGTAGAAGGTAGGAATCACTTACTCCTTCTCAGAGGACAGGAATACTTGTCCAAAGCATTTGAGGATTCATAAATATTGAGTGTGACTCTTCTAATACTACCTGTTATTGGAATGACATAGCAAATGTTTTAGTCAAATAATGCGATAAAAATAGAAAACCTAGGGCACTGGAAATAAGATTGTAGTTTGGAACCTTTAAAACTTGTTTTACAATTTATTAACCATGTTCTCATTCATTATTGCATTTATTTCTCAAAATATTCCTATGAGCATAGTTATTATATTCATATATCAAGTATCAGACTTTAACTTAGATGTATCTTACCATTAATCCTTTATATCTATATGTCTTTTCTGGCTTCATATCAGAAGCTACTTAGAGGACAAAGCTTTAGGTTTTAAACTTTTTGATGTCCCCATGCAGTGTCTATAATAATATGATTCCATCTCAAAGGTTAAGGAATTTGTCAAAGATTCCACAATTGGTGAATTGCAGACTCAGAGATGCAAACTCTTACGTAGACTAATACTCTTTTCACCATAATAACTGCTTTTCCGTTATCTTTATAAACTCATAAACAACTATCTAGGACCACACTATGACCACCCACTGGCACCAGGCCAGCCAACGCGGTTGTGATGCGATTGGTCGGGCTGGCCATTGCCCCATGATCACCCTGCAGAGGGAAGCCCAGGCCATTGACTGGTGGGCTGCAGCGGGTGGGCGGGGCCTCCCTCTGCGGTCCCGGGTGCTGGTGGCTGGAGGGAAGTCCGGGTCCCGGGTGCCAGAGGGAAGCTGGTGCCGGCAGCCAGGGGAAGGAAGGCCTACTCTTGCATGAATTTCATGCATCGGGCCTCTAGCTTTTCCATAAATGTGTTTAGAAAGTACCCATGAACTGGTTTTGTTTTCACTCCCCAGCATGGCCTTGGTGGGACTTTACTGGGTCTAAATTTCCCTTTAAGATACCAGAGAACATCTGATACAGTTCATTTATCTTTATTTTGGAAAAAAGTTTCTGTGGTCTTTCAAATAGCAATCTCTTTTAATGTATTGAAGCCTTCTTTGAGAAAGAAAGAGAGAGATATGCTATGGAGGAATTATCCATAATTATATATAATTTATATGTCAATTATCTGTCAAATAATAAACTTAAGAATTAGGAGTCAGAAAAAGGGGACATATGTAATACTTTCAACAATAAAGATTTAAAAGAAAAAAATTAGGAGTCAATGTCAACAAAAAATTATGTGCAAATAAAGTAAAATCATATCTGAAAATATACATATCCAGCATGATTCAATTTATCGACTTTTGATTTATACATAACATCTCAAAAAAAAACTATCACATATGCAAACTTGCTGATAAAGAGTTAGATTGGAAGATATATGGAAAATTACAACATTTAAAGAGTAATGTTATCAGAATAAGAATGGAGAACTTTCAATATGGTTTCCCATTGTCTCAGTGTCTTATCCATAAAGGATGTTATACTAGTATATGGTACAGTGGTTATGAACCTGGGCTTTGAGTCAGCCTGCTTGGTTTGTGCTCTAGTTTTGCTCCTTTAAATAGCTGTGTGACTTTGGTCAACTTACTTAACTTCCCTTCCCTTGGTAAAATAAAGATTCCATTAATATCTACTCCAGGCTTGGTAAGGGAAGACTGGGCAGCAAGGAATGCAATAAATCTAACACCATAGGACACGACAGCTATATGCTGTCACCTGCATCTTCTATAAAGCCCACTGCCACTATCTTGGAACTCTCAAAACTATTATGAGTAAACTCTCAATTGCCCCTTTGTCTTTGCAGCATTCTCAAGATTCAAAGTCCCAGATGGAAGCACTTGATTGACTGAGCCTACGTCACGTGCCTGCACCATAGTGATCAGTGAGTAAGAGCAGGATTCCTAGGCCCCTTTGGCTTCTGTAGTTAAAATAAAACACACACACACACACAAAAGCGGGGGGGGACTTACTCTCTAATACTTGTCTGCATTAGATGGGCATTCAGATGTCTTCTCCAAAAAGACAAATATTTTTCTTATTGTGATGTGTGTGTGTTTTTTTTAAATTTATTAGAGCACTTTTTACATTAGCAGTATTAATACTTTGCCACGTTTGTTGCATATATCTTTCCTTTTCTTTTTCAGCCATTGTGGAAAAGTAAACTTTTAATAAAAATGATTCCAACCAGTTCTTTTCTGCAGCATGCAATACAATTGATAGAGAATTGTTTCTTATTCAAACAAACCCTGCTGTCCTGGCCACAGTTCATTTAACTAGGAGTCTATGTATAGAGGAAGGTGGTTTGTTATAATGATACATCTTTGCCTGTCCTCTACCTAACAAGGTTATTTCATACTAGAGGCCCGGTGCATGAAATTCATGCACTGGTGAGGGTGGGGGGGGGATGTCCCTCAGCCCAGCCTGTACCCTCTCCAATCTGGGACCCCTTGGGGGGTGTCTGACTGCCGGGACTGCTTGCTCCCAATTGCTTGCCTGTCTGCCTGCCTGATCAGCCCCTAACCGCTTCTGCCTGCCAGCCTGATCACCCCCTAACCACTTCCCTGCCAGCCTGATCAATGCCTAACTGCTCCCCTGCCAGCCTGGTCCCCCCAACTGCCCTCCCCTGCTGACCCAGTCACCCCTAACTACCCTCCCTTGCTGGCATGATCGCCCACAACTGGCCTCCCCTGCTGGCCATCTTGTGGCTGTGGGTGCCGCCATCTTTGAGGGCGGGGCAGTCAATTAGCATATTCCCTCCTTATTGGCTATGGGTGCCACCATCTTTGAGGCTGGGGCAGTCAATTAGCATATTCCCTCTTTATTGGCTGTGGGTGCTGCCATCTTTGCAATGGCATGAGGGTCAATTAGCATATTCCCTTTTTATTAGATAGGATAAGGGATAGAACATTCACCCGAATTCCTTCTTGGGAAGTTAAAAATGTTGGTTGAACAAAAGAAGACTGGCCATTCAAGCTTTATAATAAAGCTTTACCAGGTATGGTAAAGATGGTTTGTGAGTCCTTTTTTCTATTATAGTTTAGGACTGTCATCATTATAAACATCTCCATACTTAAATAATTCAAAAGAAATGGGTGCTATACCATGGACAATTCTTTGAAATACCTCCCGTAATAGGTATTCCTTGGTAGCCAGTTTCAGAATTTGTTAAGCATTGCACAGTCAAAAAAAATTCTTCCCTGATGAATACCTTAACATGCTCTTGCTTAACTGGTTCCTTCTAGCTCCAAGGAAAACCCCCTATTTCTATCTAAAGTGACCTGCAATTCTTGCTAACCAGCCTTCCCCATATGGAGTTAAAGTTCTTTGTTCTCCAGAGAGTCTCAGTATGAGTGTTTACAAAACTCTAGAGAAAATGTAGTTGAACCTTACACATGACTTCGATGAAGGAATAGATGCAATGCCAACAGAAATTAACTTCCATATAAAGCCAGAACGAACAGGCTGGGATCATAAAGAGAACCGGGAAATGTTTTCCAAAAGACTCAGCAGGCAAATAAATCCATATTTCCAAATCAATGCTTCCCCAAGCTCATGGAGAAAAGTAAATAACAGTTTCAGGGTAACATGGCTTTCCAAATTTACTACTTACAATTAAAGTCCGTAAGTAGTCCCCAATGGTGCTTCAAAAAATTCCTGAGTGTGTTCTCATTGGCTTTATTCTAAACTCTTAGGGCACAGTAATATTTTCCTTTCTGTTTTTACCAGGAGACACACATGAGTAGAACATTCCCTCCCTGATATATGTATGTGTATATCATGGAAAAGATAAACTTCTCAATGCCTGGTGAAGAATTTGAACAGATCTTTCTCTCATCGGTGAGTTGATTTTTAAGCTGCTAAGCTACCGTTCCCTGTTGGGCACTGTAGTGATGAAATACACAGAAAAAGGGCCACTGTTGTGTACCCAATAGATAGCTTGGAAATACATGTACTCATCTAGGATAAAATTGAATTTTTCTTTTCACTGAATTATTAGTGAAATACTGTCTTCAAGGTTGAGGCTCCCAGAGGTGGTTTGTGGATGTATAAATTGAATGAGTTTGTAAGTGTGCATATATGTGTGTGTGTAGAGAATTTTTCATGCCATGAATTAATTCTGAAATGACTTCTCAGAGTTGCTGTAGTCCTCTTCTTCCACACATAGAGAATAATTGGACTCTTTGTTCAATTGAGAAAATGAGGCAGGGATGGGTGGAGGAGTAACTTCAGAAGGAGATCATAAAAGCAGTCCAGAGGAAATTTAATTTTATCTGTGAAAACAACCAGAACTCAACTCCCCTCCAAACAAGTTAGGAAGGGTGACTCCTATTGCAGTTACAGTGTGTTCCCTGCTGGAGCAGCTGTGCTGAGGCTGTGGGTTAGTTGGAAGAAGTTGTGTATAGAAGACATTAGAGGAAGAGCATATTTGATTGGTCTTTGGTTGAACATTTTTATGATCAGCCAAAGCCAAAATGATTTGCTGTGGACCAACTATGGTATCTCCCATTCTTTGCTATCTTGTCTTCTTGTCTCCTTTGCCCCCTTTGAGTACATTTATTAACTTACATTTCCCAAAGAATTGTCAACTTGCATGATCCTAGTTTTGGCATTTTTTCTTCCCAATCACTTGTCCAGACCCCTGCCCTTCTCTTTAGCTCAGTCACTCCTTCCTTCTCCTGTTGTCTTTATTGTCTCCTCTTTCTCCTGCCTTCTTTCCATCACATTTCTCTTCTCTCTCTTTAAAGGCTGGACTAATCTTGGGCAAACTTGTGATATTTCAATCTCTCACTTTAAAAAAAATATACATATATTTTTTATTGATTTCAGAGAGGAAGGCAGAGGGAGAGGGAGACAGAAACATCAACGATGAGAGAGAATCATGGATTGGCTGCCTCCTGCATGTCCCCCACTGGGGATTGAGCCTGCAACCCAGGCAGGTGCCCTGACTGGGAATCGAACTGTGACCTCCTGGTTCATAGGTC